AGAGCTCCGGCCGCAGCCGGGGAAACTGAGGCACGGGCACGGGATCTGCTGGAGATTCCCGGGGAGAGGCACAGAATCCTCCTGAAATTCGAATTATTGGGGAAGAGCCTCACGGCGCTTCGCTCAGGGAGTTTTTGGCAATGGGATTTTTCCTCACCTGCGACCTCGCAATTCCCAAATTTCCACTTCACAGCTCCCAAACGGAGCAGTTACAGCCCAAAATCCAGGCTGGGATCACAGGAAAATTCACAGCTCGGGGTGGGGAATTTTTTGTTGTTAATTTTCCAGCAGAAAAGCCGAGTTTGTTGTGGGAATTTTTTGTGTTTTTAGGGAAATATTTTTGCTCTCCTCCGTTAATGAAGCGTTGGAAGAGGCTGAGGAGGCGCTGCTGGAATTTCTCCAGCCCGGTGCTCCGCGCAGAGCCGGGCCTGATTGGATTCTCCAATTAAGGGACAAAAAGGAGCTGTTGAAGCGTCGTCATTCCCTTTCAGCGAGTTTTGACTGAAGTCAGAGAGGTCCCAAAATTGCGTGAGCCACCCCACCAAGTCCAATCGTCACCAAAATCCTTTAAAATCAGATTATCCCCGAGTTGTTTTTTAGTTTTAACCCAGGCGCTGGGCCAGGAGCCCCCAGCCCATTCCAAATCCAAGATTTTCCAATTATGGAAATGAAACCCCCTGGATTGCGCAGCCAGGTTAAACCTGCCGGCCCCAGTTTCTGGAGTCTCTAAAACTCAAATTAAAGGGCTCAGTTCCAGCCCTGGGGTTCACGGAGAGGAATTTGGGGGATTTTCCACCCATTGCTCCCCACAGCCCCTTTTGGAGGGGACCCAGCAAATTCTCACGGGGGTTTTGGGGCACGGGCGGAGTTGGCACCGGGACCCCTCATTCCATGATCCCGCTGCGTCCTCCAGCCCTTCCCTTCTGCCCGGACCGCTCGGAGCATCCCCGGTTCCCCCGGACCCCTCCGAGGATTCCTGGATCCCCCGGACCCTTCCGGGCATTCCCGGTCCCTCCGGTTGCCCTGGACTCCTCCGGGCATCCCCGGTTCCCCCGGACCCCTTAGAGGATTTCCTGTTCCCCCGGAACCCTCCGGGCATCCCTGGTCCCTCCAGCCCCGGTCCCCGTTTATCCCG